GTCTAGCTAAAGATTTATCAACTTTATTAATATTTGTAAACAATCAGTTTTTGGTTTAATTGACTTTTCCCCATGGCTTTTCTGATCTTTATCTTTCTTCTTTCAAAATACCATTTATATCTAGAGAAAATTTTCTGAATTTATTATGTTCTCCTTTTTTGTGGTCCTTAAGGTAAAAGGTTAGATTGCTGATTTGAGATCTTACTAAATTTCTTATTTTCTGACAGAGTACTCTGTCACCCAGGCTGGAGTGCAGTGGCGTGATCATGGCTTACTGCACCCTCAATCTTCTGAGTCCAAGCAATCCTCCTACCTCAGCTTCCTGAGTAGCTGGGACCACAAGTGCATATCACCATGCCCAGCTAATTTTTTTTTTTTTTTTGAGACGGAGTCTCACTCTGTTGCCCAGGCTGGAGCGAAGTGGCACAATCTTGGCTCACTACAACCTCTGCCTCCAGGGTTCAAGTGATTGTCCTGCCTCAGCCTCCCAAGTAGCTGGGAATACAGGTGCCTGCCACCACACCCAGCTAATTTTTGTATTTTTAGTAGAAACAGTGTTTCGTCATGTTGGCCAGGCTGGTCTCAAAGGCCTGACCTCAAGTGATCTGCCTATCTCAGCCTCCCAAAGTGCTGGGATTACAGGTGTGAGTCACCAAGCCTGGCTAATTTTTAAATTTTTTGTAGAGATGAAATCTCACTGTGTTGCCCAGGCTGATCTTGAACTTCTGGCCTCAGTGATCATCCTGCCTTGGCCTCCCAAAGTGCTGGGATTACAAGTGTGAGCCACCATGCCTGGCCTCCACAAATTTCTGATGGCAATTTCAGGGAAAAAAGGACTTAAATCGAGTGATTGCTATTAAATCTTAGTAAGGTTTAAAATACAAAAAAAACTTAATGAGGTTTAATATTTATACAGATAAGTATGTACATATTATCTAGGCAAAATACCATTTATATCTAGAGAAAATATTTCCAAAAAATTATTGGGACTTAAGAGAATTTGATTACTTTAGGTATCAAACCCTTAGACCTTTATTCCCATTCCCCTACTCCCACCCAATTCTGCCAAAAAAAAAAGGGGGAAGAAAGGAAGAAAAAGAGGAAGAAAGGAAAAATGTAGCACATTTTTCTAGGTATTAGCATCACAGCCGGTAATTCCATCTACTGGAAGGCTTAACAGGAAGAGGCAACTCTGGAGCCAGGCAGAACTTGGTCTGAATTCTGGCTGAGCTGCTTCAGCTGTGTGGCCATGATCAAGCCATTTAGTCTGTGTCCTTCAATCAGCTCATCTGTAAAATGGGATAATAATCATCATAATAAAGGCTGGCCTGGTGGCTCATGACTGTAATCCCAGCACTTTGGGAGGCCAAGGCAGGCAGATCTCTTGAGGTCAGGAGTTTGAGACCAGCTTGGCCAACAGGGTGAAACCCCGTCTCTACTAAAACTACAAAAATCAGCCAGGCGTGGTGGAACACACCTGTGGTCCCAGATAGGATGCTGAGGCAGAGAATCACTTGAACCCAGGAGGCAGATGTTGCAGTGCGCTGAGATTGTGCCACTGTACTTCAGCCTGGGTGACAGTGAGACTCCATCTCAAAAAACAAAAATCATAATAAAAATATCCAAGGTTTTCTTATTTGTAAAGTGAATTGTCTGTATTCACTTTGCAGAGCTATTGTGAAAATTAAATGGGATGATTCATGTGAAGCACCATATTGCATAGCTCATAGTAGATGCTTAGTCTGTTTGGGCTTCTTTAACAAAAATGCCACAGACTAGGTGGCTTATACACAACAGAAATTTATTTCTCACAATTCTGGAGGCTGAGAAGTCTAAGATTAAACCATGGGCAGAAGAGGTGAGTCTAATGGAGAGTGGAGTGTTGAGAGCTACCAGGAGCTGCCTCATGCTGTGGACTGATGTTCCAACAGGAGTCAGGACAGTCAAAACGAGCATGAAAGGTAGCCAAAGACTAACTTTGGAGGCGGTTTTGTTCCTATGGAGGTCAGTGAAATGAAGATAGCAAGTCACCCTTTGTCAGACTGTGATTTCAGTTCCATTTTGAGAAAATGGAGCAGTTCCCAGCTCTCTGCTGGAAGGAACAAGAGGTAGGAACAAGGCCCAGGCTGATGCTGTGTGTTGGGTTCGGTAATGGGAGATTGATGCCATTTGTGTGATGTGTGATAAGATGCATGAGGTGTAAGCGGCTCTTAACACTGGTTAACAAAAAAGTTGACCACCAGCACACACAGCCATTGTTTCCAGCAGCACTCTTCAGTGATGGGCTTTGTCTGGCTGGCTTCACAAAAGACAAATGCCATTACGGGAGACCAAATAACCTTATTTAGGCAGTTGTGAGATAATAGAGGCGCTCCAGGTATTAACCTGACTGCATTAGTTTGATTTGTTACTACTGTTCACCTTGTCCTGAGCATTAATGGAGACAAAGGCCTAGAATTACCAGGAACAGAAATAAGCTGTGGATTAGAGCCTACATGTTTTAAGGGAAAGAAAATTCTATCTTGGGTTTTCCTTTCCATTTTCATTTTGCTTGATTTTTCCTGAGTCCAGTTTCACCCCGGAATATCATTATATTCTCTCCAAATTTCTTGCAATTGTAAATCCAAAAATGTTACTGATTCATTATTTCTTTTAACATGATCAGCCTTTATCTTTAGGTTTTTAGCAAAGATTTTAGGGAAAATATACTAGCAATCTTTTATATTATCCTGCTTCTTGAGTATTCTTATATATTATGAACTTGCTTCACAAAAGTTATAATAGAACTTATATTTTGTTATTAGTATCAAAAAATATAAAAATAGACATATTTACAGTTATTTAATATGATAAATTTTGGTTTTAATTTTCCTGACTTATAAATATTATTTGTTATAAATATATCATTTCTATTATAAATGATTTCAGTTATAAATATGTAGCTTCAGTTATAAGTATATAACCATTTATAAACACAATTTATTTCAATTATAAATAAAATTGAATTTCAGGGCCACATAAATCAGTTACATAAAATTGTCATGGAAAATACTGAGATAATGATAGTCTAGAGTTACTACTATGTTTCTCTCCTCACCAGATGTTTTAGAGTTATGACTAGTTTTTAAAATTAAAAAAAAACTTAAGTGAATTATTGGTTGTTGATCGCTATCTGTGATGGTGTTTCATTTTTCTCTAGATTCTACAATTTTACACACAATCTTCACATTCCTCAGGGATTTGAGAATTAGGTTTAATTGTAGAAATTCTAGATAAGCTATGATTACTCTGAATAATCTCAATTTATGAAAAGCACTACTTCAAAAATACTTAATATTGTGGAATTGTTTATTATTGTATATAAGACTTGAAATCTTATCCTAAACCAAGCAGACATTCAGGAGACAGAGCTATAATTCTGACATGGCAGGATGTCAGAGAGATGCAAAATAGAATGTCAAATATGATCACATTTTTTAAAATAATAAAAAAACAACAAATATATGTGTGTGTGTTTATATATAAAAAGATGCTTTTATGGTACACAAAAAGGTCTATAAAGATGTTTAATGATGGTTATCTCTTAAGGATAAGATTCAAGGGGGATTTTACTCTATTTCTATACTGCTTACATTGTTTGCAGAATATAGAATGACAATAAATTTGGAATTAAAATAAAAGCTTACTCATCATGTGACACATTCCCCTCCAACCCACTCCCCGAGAGTCTACTCCTGGTAACTTCCAGTCTTCCAATTTAACATAATTTCCTAATAACCTAATGGAGAACAAAGAAAACTCTTTGTGGATAAATTTTAACTAATACATTTCATAAATAGCACTTCTAATTTTTATGTGAATGGAAGCAGCTCTTTATATTGGAAAAAGTGGCCCAGTCTTTTTCGGAAAACATGTAATGCCTTTGTTCTTCCTAACTGCCCTGTTGCCCTTCTTTTCCTCCTCCCTCTCTGTCTCAGCAACAGTAGAACATTGCTGCTTAATGCTGATCAATTGTTGGGACACAGCTCTGTACCCCAAATGTGCTCTCAGTAAATAATTTTAAAAAGCTCTAAAATCTGAGTCAAATCTGCTTTTCCTTAGAAATAATATACAAATTCCCTCTAGTCTTTCATATATAAAAAAATATATAGTGGTTATAGATTCAATAACGCAATGAGAACTTCACACCTGATCATCTCTGGGACATTGTAAAGGACAGAGGATAGAAAGAAAAGAGAAGCAAGGGAGAATTCTATTCAAATGGACAAAGCTGAAATTTGGCTTCCAGTGGACAAAGTCAGCGTCTTAAGCTGACATTTCAAAAAAAAGAGAGAACAAAAACACCCACTTAGGTATTCCATTAACTAGAAAACAAATACTTACATTTCCAGTGGAGAGGGTTCCCTTCTTGTTATATATCTTATTCTATTCCCATCTTTAATTGGCAGGTAAAATGAGAAAATGAGAAATGAAGGCACATAGTTTTTGTTACTTAGAAAACATCCTGATTATTTCCAGTGACTATGTCAGAGCACTTACAAAAGGTAGGTCAGTTATCCTGCCTTCTCAGTCAACCTAATTTTGCAGTTGATTGGAAATCATTAAACTGGAAATAAATATAAGCTAGATGATCACTATCACTTTATTGAATGAAAGTACAAAATTAAACTAGAACACTAAAATTTTGCATTTTTTTTGGTAGCTTAATTTTTTGTTTGTTTGTTGCTTAATTCTTCTGTGCAATTCAATACCGATGGCATATAATATGATAGATGATGCTTGTATATTTCTACTTTGGCATAATGACTTTGCTTGGAAAAACTTGAAACTAACACTTTAAGAATTTGTTTTGATAGATGATGAGAAATTCTCACTGCTTTATGCTATTAATCAAGAGAAGTTCAAGATTCATCAATAAATCATAACCTATAATATAGTTAAGAATAATCATGTTCCAAATGTACATTGAGGAAACTAATGGAAACAACTCACATCTTTGCTCTTCAGATGATTTCACTTGAAATATTTTACAAATAGAATCCAACTTGTGGAATCACTTAGTCATGAGTCTATTGATTTTAACAAACTAATTTATTAGGTTAATTTTGCTCACTTAAAAAATAGCAATCTTTTCTGAAAATGATTATTAAAATATATAAGAAAGGTCTTTACTATAACTAAAAGTGCCCAAATATAATATGTACCATGCTATAATAGTAATTATTTACAATATATTTTTGGAAAAAAATGACAATATGCAGATTAAATGCAGTAAAGAAAACATCACATTTTAACACTTAATATTTCCACTGATTCTTCATGCTCTGCAATTAGAAGATAATTTCACTTGTTTAGTTTTCTATCTATTCCAGGAGATTTGTGTCGAAATTTTTTTTCGCCATTAGAAACTGTGATTCTCTATGGGACCTTTTCAGTTTTGCACGCCGATTTTGGAACCAAATCTAAAATTAAGGAAAAATAAAATAGGTCTCAGAAAGATTATTTTATTATTTTTAACATTTCAACCATCATGAATAACAACTAAATTTGAAAATTACCTGGATTCTGTCTTCCTCTAGATTCAATTTTCGAGCTAAGTCTTCTCTAATATCAATGCCAGGATAGCAGTTTACTCTAAAGACATTTTCTAACACTTCAATCTAAGAATAAGAAAATAAATCTTTAAAATGTTGATATTCAGTATGTCACCAAAAATGAGCTTTAATTTCTAGAGCAAAATGACTGCATTTAAATATTGGCAATTAATCTGGATGCCTTTTTAAAAATGATTACTTAGAAATTGTTAAAATATGATAGTCTATTGCTTCATTAATAAGACTTCTAAACTGAGATACCAAAGTGAATGACTTTTGCTCAACTTGGTGTCAATTAAAACCTTTTATTATCATTATTGGGTGAAAAAACTTCCCACCTGGTTTTGAGTAAAAGCAGTTCTTGGTCTTCGGCCTCTATACCAACTCAACTCTCTTTTCAAATACAGTCTTTCTGAGGCTGAAAAGTAATTTTCATATTTTGAAGCTCTTTCTTCTGGTATTGGGTGATCCACCATGCTAGGGAATGAAATCCCACTGGGAGGATTTGGGACATGTAGACATAAGTTACCATCTTTACCTAAAAACAGAAAAATAAACCCCATTTTAGATGGTCAGTCTTATGTTTCACAAAGCTCTATAAGAGGTAGTTTCAGGAACTCATCTTTCATTTCCTGGTGGAATTCTTCTGAGTTTCACAAGAGAATCAGCCCCCATCAACCAAATACTGAAAACCAATAAAAAATGAAGATTCTGTCTTGGTAATCCTGCCTCTTTGGTCTCTAAATGTTGTTTATTTTTCAGTGAAAAGAGATTTCAAATATCTGATGTATCAAACATAGAGATCTTCTGAAGTAAATGCAGGTTCTTGGCATTTCCTGTGATTGAACTTTATATCCACTTTGCTCGATCCAAAACTGATATATTCTTTTCATTTCCCACAGGACTCAGCTGGAGGCTTTAAAAGTTCTAGACTCTGGCTGGGCTCACCTGTAATCCCAACACTTTGGAGCCCGAGGCAGCCAGATCACCTGAGGTCAGGAGTTTGAGACTAGCCTGTCCAACACGGTAAAACCCCATTTCTACTAAAAACAGAAAAACTAGCCAGGTGTGGTTATGCATGCCTGTAATCCAAGCTACTCAGGAGGCTGAGGCAGGAGAATCGTTTGAACCAGGAAGGTGGAGGTCGCAGTGAGCTGAGATTGTGCCACTGCACTCCAGCCTGGGCAACAAGAGCAAAACTGTCTCAGAAAAAAATAGAATCGAATAAAATAAAAGTCCTAGACTCTATGTAGTATGAGATAAAGGGCAAAAAAATTAACACTGTAAATGAAATAACAAATAATTGAAAAAATTGAGTTGTGGCATACCTGAGGAGCTGCAGGTGTCTGCCCAGGGCCTGTGGGGTTTCATTAATGGAACACAGTCTGTCTTCTGGTCCATTCCTAAGATTCTCTCAATTGAAAAGGAGCAAGTTGAGGGTTTGCTTTCCTGGAGCTGAGCGCCTTCCTGAAGGCTGGGAGACATCCTCTCGTGGTCTGTGCAGAGCAACAGCTCTGGCCTCTGCTGGCTCTGCCCCACGTGTATAAGGCTGGGATCTTCCTGCAATTCACCTTATAGCTACGCTGACAAGGGGGCTGGATTTAGAACATCACTAATTAAAATCCTGTCTTAGAAAGTTTTAGCATGTCAATGAACACTTGCCCAGCCAGAAGCTTAAGGAGTTAATTGTTTATTTGTTTGCAAGTAATTAGCAACTAATGGCTACACCAGGGGGGCCACCTACTGGGACAAAAAGTGTTATCTCTCCTAAGCAGAACACAGACTTAACTTTCTCGAAAGAAGTGATGCACAAATGTGGCATTCCTCTTTTATTTGAAGTCATTAATGTATAAAATCATGCTTTTTATTCTGAAGTTTATACTTTCATGGGCTCCAGTTACCTAAACATACAGGCAAGATACAAGAGCAGTCAAGTAATAAATAATCTAATTTAAGTGAATTTTCTTCCAAGGAAATTGGAAAAAATAATCTCTTAATGCTATTACGGTAATTCTGATGAAAATGCCTGTTTTTCATATGCATATGTAATAGGGAATGTTGTCATTGAAAACACAATAGTATTTGGAGTGCAGCATAGTGGAAAAGGTTGGCAATGATATTAACACAGAGTGTAATTTTCTTCCAAGTGCCTGGATTAATTCGTAGGAACAGTTGCACCAAGTATTTTAAATAATTAATGGGCTAATTCCTTTCCTTTCTCTTTTCTTTTAAATGAGAGAGATACAAGTTCATAGGAAGGTTCATATGTAATCGCCTCCAAGCAATTTAGAAGCATGACTACTTAAAGAGAATAATTTCTCTATAATGGTTATTTTAAAGAAAAGAACATAGTTTACTTTTAAAGAAAAATTTCCCACCGTTGATCTTTTGAGGGATGGGCAAAGGAGGGAGTATTTGAAGATGAAAAGGCTTGTGAAAATAACCAAGTACAGAATGTTTTGATTTCATTATCCCAAGAAAAGTATAACTGATGATTGGGAAGATTTTGAACTGGCTATTTCCCACAAAAGGTGTACTTGTAGTTCTTGTACTCTGCTCCTCCTCTTCTTCCAGTACCTTCCTGAAGATAAATTTACGTGCTTAGCTTTATTCATTATTTAAACAACTGCTAGACTTTCCTTCAGGGAAGAGGAATAACAGTCTCCACTCACAGCAGAAACAGCCTCTATAGGGTGGCACTTACCTTCATCAGCTGTTATCCTATCATGATCTCACAAATATTGAGCTAAATTCTTCCTCATGAAAGCTCTCAGATAAATAAAGGATCTCACATGCAAAACATCAACAGGCACACGGATTTATAAATATACGTGTAAAACCATTCTGTGGATGAATAAAGCAGTGAACATTTACACCTTATGGAGATTTTGTACATAGTGCTGAGATGTAGATTGTGCAAAGGTGGGGGGTATCTTAATCTGCGACGACTAGGAGGAAGTGAGAGAATACAGGACCTTCCCAACTTTCTTTCTTTGAGACATTCATTATTTCCTTCCACAATTGGTTGAGTACCTACTCAGAGCCAGAAAAAAACAAAACAAAACAAAATACTATCCTTGCCTTCATAGGGCTCACAGTGGTGCAAAGTGGGGGACAGGAAACAAATAATAATTATGGGTAAATTATCTAGTACGTTGGCCAGGATAAGAATGGGAAAAGGAAACAGGTGAGCCAGGTAAGATGAATCAGTGCAGGAGGTGGAAGAGTAGACGTCAGTGTAGGCCTCACTGAGCCCCTAAGCCCCACAGATGAGTGCCTCAGAGGCACAAGGCAGAAGGATGCCACAGCACACGCCAGAGCAACTCCAGTTCTCAACTTCTTCATTAACAAATATGTTCCAGTATTTTTATTCAGCTTAAATTTATTTTCTTTGGATTTACATAATATCATTTAATATATGGATGAATAGGTGAAAATTAAAGGCAGTAAAAATCATCTAAAAATGTGAGGGAAGGCTTTTCTCATATACTCCCCAATAGATTTCTTTGTTTGTTTGAGACAGAATCTCACTCTGTTGCCCAGGCTGGAGTGTGGTAGCATGATGTTGGCTCACTGCAGCCTCCACCTCCTGGGTTCAAGCAATTCTCCCGCTTCAGCCTCCCCAGTAGCTGGCATTACAGGTGTGCACCACCATGCCTGGCTAATTTTTGTATTTTTAGTAGTGACATGGGTTTCACCAGGTTGGCCAGGCTAATCTTGAACTCCTGACCTCAAGTGATCCACCCGCCTCAACCTCCCAAAGTAGTGGGATCCCAAAGTGGTGGCATTACAGGTGTGAGCCACCATGCTTAGCCTCAACAATTTTTATAGGTCACTTAATATGTGCCAGACATTATTATAGGTGCTAGAGATCAGTGATGAACAAAACATGGTAATTCCACGGTGTGATAAATACACTGAAAGGAGTGAACAAGGTGACGGGGATGCAACATAACGGGAGTGAGTAACTTTAAGTACGGTGGTCAGTGGTCAGTGGTGGAGGAGGGCCTGAGGAAGTGGCATTTTCGCTGAAGCTGAGCTAGAATGCCAAGAGCCTGAAAAAAAGCACTGCACTCTGAGGGAACAGCAAGTACAAAGGTCTTGCAGTTGAAAAGCACTTGCAGCCGGGCGCAGTGGCTCACACCTGTAATCCCAGCACTTTGGGAGGCCGGAGCGTGTGGATCATGAGGTCAGGAGATTGAGACTGTTCTGGCCAACATGGAAAAACCCTGTCTCTACTAAAAACTCAAAAATTAGCTGGGTGTGGTGGCAGGTGCCTATAGTCCCAGCTACTCGGGAGGCTGAGGCAGAGAATCATTTGAACCTGGGAGGTGGAGGTTGCAGTGAGCTGAGATAGTGCCACTGCAGTCCAGCCTGGTGACAAAGCGAGACTCTATCTCAAATAATAATAATAATAATAATAGGCTGGGCGTGGTGGCTCACACCTGTAATCCCAGCACTTTGGGAGGCTGAGGTGGGCGGATCACCTGAGGTCAGGAGTTCAAGACCAGCCTGGCCAACATGGTGAAACCCCATCTCGAAAAAATATATAATAAAGAGAAAACCACTTGAAATATTTGAGGAGGTGGTGGTACCGGGTGCATTTGGAGAGCCAGGACGGACAGGCTGGATAATGGATGGCCTTTAAAGGACATGGTAAGGAGTTCCAGTGCATAGAGAAGCCAAGAGTAGAGTTTTAAGCTGGGACTGATATAATAGAATTTATGTTTTTAAACCTTACCCTGGCTGCTCTGTGGAAAGGGATTAGAGAGAAGTGAGTGTAACCAGGGAGATCAGTTTGGAGTTACTTACTGAACACATTATTTACTAAGCATATACTACCTGCTAGGCATTGTTCTAGGTGTGAGGGATACACTGGTGAAAACACACTTGTTTAGAGGCAAAAGATGATGATCATTTGACAGTAGAGAGGGTAGGTTTGGAGAGAAGTGCAATTCTTTTTTTTTTTTTTTTGAGACAGAGTTTCGCTCTTGTTACCCAGGCTGGAGTGCAATGGCACGATCTCGGCTCACCGCAACCTCCGCCTCCTGGGTTCAGGCAATTCTCCTACCTCAGCCTCCTGAGTAGCTGGGATTACAGGCGCACGCCACCATGCCCAGCTAATGTTTTGTATTTTCAGTGGAGACGGGGTTTCACCATATTGACCAGGATGGTCTCGATCTCTTGACCTCGTGATCCACCCGCCTCAGCCTCCCAAAGTGCTGGGACTACAGGCGTGAGCCACCACGCCCGGTGAGAAGTGCAATTCTTTAGAAGGTTATGGGAGATTGAAAAATTGAATACTTGGTCCCAATTCTTCAATCCCCATAATATCATATATAACCATCCCCTTGCTGTGGTTTCGTGGTGGAAACAGTGTACTTCCCACCTCCTGATTTTAGGCTTGACTGGCCAATGGGAAGTGATGGGAGCAGAAGCTCGATGTGCCCACTTGTGTGTTTTTTTTTTTTAATTGACATAGTCTTATTCTGTCCCCCAGGCTAGAGTGCAGTGGTGCAATCTCTGCTCACTGCAACCTCCACCTGCCAGGTTCAAGTGATTCTCCTGCCTCAGCCTCCTGAGTAGCTGGGACTACAGACGAACGTCACTACACCTGACTAATTTTTTTATTTTTAGTAGACATGGGGTTTCACCATACTGGTCAAGCTGGTCTTAAATTCCTGACCTCAAGTGGTCCTTCTGCCTCAGCCTCCCAAAGTGCTGGGATTCAGGCATGTAATTTGTATTTTTAGTAGAGATGGGGTTTCACTATGTTGGTCAGGCTGGTCTCAAATTCCTGACCTCAAGTGATCTGGCCGCCTCATCCTCCCAAGGTGCTGGGATTACAGGTGCCCAGCCCCATCTTGTGCTTTTGACTTCACTATGAGATCATCCCTGGGACAGCTGCTGCCCTTCAGCCTGAGCCCCAGAATGAACACACATGGATCAGATCCTAACTCATCCCGTATCCTGCAGTCAAGTCAGCCAAGCCCAGCCAATCTCAGCCAAATATCAACGGACCAGCAGTTTTGTGAGAAAAATATTCATTGTTTAAGCCACTGAAGTTTTTTCTTTTTTTTTATTATTTATTTATTTATTTTATTTTTTAGAGATAGGGTCTCACTATGTTGCCTAGACTGGTCTTGAACTCTGGGGGTCAAGCAGTCCTCCTGCCTCAGCTTCCTGAGTAGCTGTGACTACAGGTACCAGCCATTACACTGGCTCCACGGAGGTTTTTGAGGTTATTTTATACATAGTATTTTGGAGGATATAGCTTTGATTCAGGGGTTAAAGAACATGTCTTATTGATGGGTTGGATAGGGAGGTGAGGGAAAAGAAGGCATTAAAGATGACTATTTTTTTGGCTTGAGCAAATACAATACCATTTACTGGGATGTGAAAGCCTGGGCTAGGGAATGAAATGTTTGGGGAGAAATGAACAGCTCCAGTTTGGATAGCAAGTTGCTTTAAGCTCAATGCCACAGTGCTAAGTTTATGTATCACCAGCAAAGAGATGGTTTTAGAAGCCATAGGTTTGCATGAGATTATCCAGTGGATGGGTGCAGTGGCTCCTGCCTGTAATACCAGACCTTTGGGAGGCTGAGATAGGAGGATCCCTTGAGCCCAGAAGGTGGAGGCTATAGTGAACTGTGTGCATGCCACTGCACTTCAGCCTGGATGAATGAATAAGACCCTGTCTCGAAAAATAAAAAAAATTAGGGAACGATGCTAGATACAAGAAGGGTCTCAGGACTGAGTCTAAGGTGCTCCAACATTTGTAGATTGGGACAGAAGTGGTACTGGAAAAGGAGCAGCTCGTAAGGCAGGAGAAAAATCTGGAGATACAAGAACATAGTCAACAGAGGGAACAGGGTCAAGGAAAAGAATGGTTACAATAGCATCTCTAGCGGCCCCTGCTTCCACCCTGGGCCCCCTCATGGCTTTCTATGAACACAGCAGCCAGAGGGATCATTTAAAAATGTAAGTCAGTTCATGTCACAACTCTGCTCAAAAAATGGCTCCTGGCCGGGCATGGTGGCTCATGCCTATAATCCCAGCATTTTGGGCGGCCAGGGGCAGAGGATCGCTTGGGGCCAGGAGTTCAAGATCAGCCTGGGCAACACAGTGAGACCCCACCTCTACAAAACAATTAAAAAATTAGCCAGTCATAGTTGCCTGCACCCATAGTCCCAGCTATTTGGGAGGCTGAGGTGGGAGGATTGCTTGAGCCCATGAGGTCAAGGCTGCTGTGAATTATACCACTGGACTCCAGCCTAGGCAACAGAGCAAGACCCTGTCTCAAAAAAAAAAAAAAAAAAAAACAACTCCCCAACTCAAAAAAAGTGAAAGTCTTTACAATGGCCTGCAGGACCCTACATGACCTGCCAGCCTTCCTTATCTACTTGATCTCACCTCCTATTTCTCCCTCCCATGTTCACTCTGTTCTAGCCACACTGGACTCTGCCTCCTCTTCCTGAAAATATCTGGCACAACCCTCCCTTAAGGCATTTACACTGGCTGTTGTCATCTGTAATGTTCCTCCCTTATGATTCCCCACAGCTTACCCCTTTATATACT